GTAAAGGATGAATACGAAAAGAGCCAAAAGAAAGTGCCATGAAAATGAGAAAATCATACTTGAATTGGAATTTTTGTTATAAATAGAAAGATGTTGTTTCCCCAAAAATCCTCAGCCGACCTTTACCACGTGAGTTTGGTTGTTAAGCATACTACTTGCTTTGTTTAAAATAAAAAAAACAAGATTTTTCAAACAACCCTTCTTCTTTCCAACGGTCGACCTTCAAAAAGGATGGCTGGAAAGAACGTCTATGAAATAAATTGCGTCCCAGATGATGTTGCAAAATAGAGGGTAAAGTTCAGCAAAATGGGTTACTAATTACCTTGGAAACCTCCAAGGATTTTACAACCTGTTTATACCTAAAATAAACCAATAAGATAAGGCCACGTGTCAAGGTAAAACCCAATTATCAAGAAAATCAATAGGCTGGATTTGGGCTAGGCTGGGCTGGCTTACAATTTAATGGCCCAAATGGATTTTCAAGGAGGTTAGATCTTAGGTGGCAGAAAATAAGATTGGATTTAGTAGTTTGAGTTTGATTTAAAATGGAAAATTGAGGATTTTTAGGTAGTTATCTTTAAGGTTGTTGGAGATAAGGTTAAATAAAAATTATTGGATAACTGTCAAACAACTGCCAGACCTGCAATCCCACTACCAAATCATGGAGGAACAGTTCCGAAAATCGAGGAACAGTATCGAAAATCATGGAGGAAGTTCCTAGCACCGAAGAGAACAAAAACAGCAAGAAGAGAACAGTTCGGGGCCTGCCCAACACACATACAGACTGCCCAGAGCATGTTTTTCAGCTTTCAGACTGCATTTTCCAGATTTTAGCAATAGTTTCCAGATTTTCCAGATTAGTTCATAGCCTTAGCCTAGGTTTGTTCATCTTTGTTCATATTTTCTCCTGCAAATTCCAATTTAGGTTAATTTTTAAGTATTTGAAAGCAACTTAGCCTTCAAAACAGGTATCCCCTTTTAATTCGGTTAGTTCTTCTTCCTTTTATGGATTTAGTTATGTTATTCATTCATGCAAATAGGTTGAACGTTCTCTACCTTTGTTCTTTTGACTCTGCACAATATCCAGACATGCAGTTTGTTTAATTTCAATTTCAGATTTAAATTTATAAGTTTCCAGACTTTAATCATTTCATAGTTTCTACTTCAGTTTTAGTTAATCGTTATGAGCTGCGTAGTTGAAGTCATTGTCTGTTATTTTACTTTTTCTATTGTCTGCGAATTTAATCTTCATGGCATGTTATTTTCTGTTATTTACTTCATATTAGTTTAATTGCTTTATGATATTGCATTTATTTTAGAATTTGTAGCTTTTATTACACTTGTTTGGTTGTGAAGTCCTTGGAGGCTTCCAAGGCAATTAGTAACCCATTTTGCAAAACTCCACCCTCTGTTTTGCAACATCGTCTAGGGTGCAATTGATTTCACAGACGTTCTTTCTAGCCATCCTATTGGAGGTCAATCGCTGGAAAGGAGAAGGGTCGTCTGGAAAATCCTGTTTTTCTTGTTTTTAAACAAAGCAAGTGGCACGCTTAATAACCAAACTGACGTGGTAAAGGTCAGCTGAGGATTTTTGGGGAAACACAACCACAAAAGCATAATAAAAGTTACAAATCCTAAATTAACACAAAATCTTAAGGCAATTAATTTAACATGAGATCAATAAAAGGAAACAACATGCTATAAAAATAAAATTCGTAGACAGTAGAAAATGTAAAATCACAGACAATGACTTCTACTACACAATCCATAACAATTAAATTTAATTACTTGCAGATTTAAAATAAAAATAATTAAACTACTTGATAACTAAAACTGAAGGAGAATCTACGAAATAATTAAAGTTTGGAAACTTATGAAATTAAATCTGGAAATTGAAATTAAATAAACCGCATGTCTGACTGTTGTGCAGAAACAAAAGAACAAAGGCAGAAAGCATTCAACCTATTTACATAAATAAATAACATAACTGAATCCATAAAAGAAAGAGGAACTAACCAAATCAACAGGGCAGACTTGTTTTGTAGGCTGAATTGCTTCTAAATGTTTAAAAACTAACTTAAATTGAAGTCTTTGATGAAATATATGAACAAGAATGGAAAAAGCTAACCCAAGGTTATGAAAAAGAACAAATCTGGTAAACTAATCTGGAAACTATTGCTGAAATTTGGAAAAAGCAGTTTAAAAGTTGAAAAACATGCTCTAGGCAATGTGTGTGTGGGGCAGGCCGTCTATAACTGATCTCTCCCTCATGTTTTTCATTTCTTCTGTGCTAGGAAACCTCCTCCATGTTTCTCAACACTCTTCCACCATGATCGAGTAGTGGGGGTTCCATGTTTGGCAACTGTCTGGCAGTTGACAGTTTTTACTCAATCTTATCTCCAATAAAACCCTAAAGATAACCTCCTCCTAAAAACTCTCAACTTCCTAACTTAAATCAAACTCAAA